TTTTTAATAATTTATGATTTTCTCTCGGTTCCCAGAGTGTTATTACCTCACTTAATATCATTTACAAATTACATGCGGTCCCATCAATTGTAGTAAAGGGAGGAAGTGTCTGGGAGATGCTCAAGAATCAAATGCTATAGAGAAAATGAGAATTTATGAACCTGGGAATGCTGCAGTGGCGCAGGGCCCGGGATGCTGCTCACACAGGCTGTCCAGGGATGTGGTCACCGTGTAAAGGAGGGACATGGGGGCTGCCACCAGGCAGGGCAGCTGTGTGCTCTCACCCCTCTATACCCACGTTCCTCCCCATCTCTGTCTCTCTCAACCTTCTCCAGAGCTCAGGAATGCAAGCAGGGATTGAGCATCATTAGCAGAAGACGCAGGGTTGGCTCAGCTCTACACACTGATGGCATTGGGTGGTGCGGTGTGGATGTAGTCCCTTGCTGGGGCTGTGTCTGGGGCTGCAGTGTAGGTTAGCATCCCCTGTAGGCACGAGACACCATCACCTGTTGCCTTATCGCTCATAGTGAGTGTGCTGCTTCACTGCCGTCGCCCAGCGGGGCTCGTTGCATGGGAACGAGTGCACACAAACCCAGCTCTGCTGCTGCCAGCTCAGTCATTTGGCAGAGGAGAGGCTGAGCCCCTCCTACCCAACGCTGTTTTCTTGTTTGTCTTTTTTCCATCGTTTGTTTTTTCCTTCTTACTAGAAATAAAGAGCGAAAGAAAGGAAGAGAGCCAGCCCTTCTCCTACTCTTCTCCTCCTCCTCCTCATTAGCGCTGCATCCCAGGCAAGCTCAGGAAAGTGCAATTTCCTTTGTGTCACCAGTGGCACAGAAATCTTCTCCATGGCAACACGGCCGGCGGCAGGCAGTGCTGGGCTCTGGGATGCCTGCAAGGCTCTGGGGGTGGCTGGGAGCAGGGGGGATCTGGGGACATGGAGGGGAGATGCTGTGTGGTTCAGCAATCCAGGGCACTGCAGAGCTCAGCATCCTTGGGGGCTGCAATTGGGCGCTGAGCATCTTGCTTTTGGCAAAAGGAAGAATTTGTGGTGTCCCCCAAACTCTGAGCTGGGGTGTTTGTGGGGACAGGAGTTAGCCAGAGGATAGCTGGTCAGAGGTCTGGATGCTTGGCTTGACTGTCCCCACCAGCATGACACGGCCCTGGAAAAAGGGACATCCATCTGTCAGGATTGCAGTCATCGCTGGGGGGTGAGAAATGGACTCCTGCATGCAGCTGTGGGGCTGACCCAGGGCTGCTGTCGTGCTCCCCACAAGTCAGGTGTTCATGCTGCCATTGCTCCTCCTGTGTTTCACATGGGAGAAAACTCATAGCTTCCTCCTGGAGACCGCGCTGGGGAGGGGTGGAAATGATCCTCAGTGCAGCTTCCTAACGGCGTTCCTTAATTACCCTTCTCACAAGGTTCAGACACAAGCAAGTCTCTGCAGAGCAAACAGCCCTTTGTTATCTAATAACTCACAGGGAACAGCGATTTGCATACAGCAACAGGAACAGAAAGAAAAAAAAAAAGAAGCAGAGGAAAATGCCTCCCTGTGAACATCACAGAAGCATTTGATGGCAATAACTCACCCTGGCCAATCTCCCTGTCTGGAGTTCTCCCTGAGTATCTGGGACGAGTGGGACTTGCAGTTCTCTCTTCTTGAAGGCACTGCACTTGGCAGAGCCTTTTAACTAAATTGAATGTCTCTGTCCTGCAAAAATCTGCTTACATGCTGCCTTTCATGCCAGCGCACCTGGACATGCTGGTGATTGCACTACAGAAGAGCAAAGCCAGATGAAAAAGCTTATGAAATGTCAGTAGAAATGTAAGTGGTCAAGAGCTGGAGTGCCTGTTCAGCAGTGGTTTTCATCCCAGATTGAGAGGAGGGAGTGAACGATCAGGGCTCAGTGTTAAACGTGGGGTTTGCATTGGTTTGTAAAGTTGTAAAGCTCAGCGTGGCACTGCTGAGTGCTCTGTGGACATGGAGGCAGGGGGAGAAGAGGCACCGGGCTGGGGCTGAGCTCACGGACTCTGTCTGCAGAGAGGGGCTGGCATAGGATTATTGAATCATTAAAGTTGCAAAAGACCTCTAAGGTCATCCAGTCCAACCATCCACCTACCTCTGATGTTGCACACTAATGTGTCCATCAGTGGCACATCTCCATTTTTCTTGAACACCCCCAGGGATGGTGACTCCACCACCTCCCTGGGCAGCCTGTGCCAGTGCCTGACCACTCTTTCAGAGGAGTTTTCCCTAGTATCCAACCTGAGGGCACGGAAGGGAAAGGTTTTGATTCAAGTGCATATGCTTTGGTTTCACTAAATGCACAGAGGGTACCGCTGGACTCAGTGGAAAGGGACTGTCTTATCTGCAATTGGATTATTTTTAAGTGAAAAGACAGTAGCAGCTGCTAAAATGCATTGACTTGTTGAAAACATATAGATTTGGATAGCAATGCCATAGAGCGCTATCACTTAGGTGTCTCAGCCCATCTGCGTAAAGTAACTATTGATTTTGGTTGATATGCATTGATTCCAAGAAAACTGCCCTGCTTTGAAAATGAACTTCCAGGAGTTTCAAGGGAATATGCAATGCGCCGTCTCTCTTGCAGGGCTACCTTGTTTTGTTAAACGTGTCTCGCGTGTTTGAAAAACAGAAGCAAAGCCAAACAAATAGCTCGGAGGGAATTAAAATGCATCGATTCTCGGGGTGGGAATAATGGCCTTCGTTAAAAGCTTTTGGAGACGTTAACATACACTGCTTTGAATAAAGATCTCCCTCCGGCCCACTGCTCCTGCACCTGCTACCACGACAATTATTTGGATGGGAAGGTGGGGAGCTGAAATGCAGCCGCGCTGCCTTGGGGGTCCCTGCGTGCAGAGCCAGGCCTGCAGGAGCCAGGGAGGGAATGGGAGGCATGGGAAGCCTTGTCCTGCCTGTCCCCCTGCCCAGGGATAGGGACTGTCTGTCTGTCCCTCATGGTCTGGCTGGCTGTTTGTCTGGCTGCACCTTGTGATCTCTCTGGCAGTCCCTCGTGATCTGTCCACCTGTCTGTCCAGCTGTCCCTCGTGGTCTGTCTGCCTGCCTGTCCATTTGTCCCTTGCAGTCTGTCTGGCTGTCCTTAGAGGTCTGTCTGCCTGCCTGTCTGGTTGTCCCCCATGGTCTGACTGTTCGATTGTCCCTTGAGGTCTGTCCAACCCTCTGCTCAGCTGTCCCTTGTGGTCTGTCTGACTGACTGTCTGGCTGTCTCTCATGGTCTGTCTGTCTGCCTCTCATTGTCTACCTAGCTGTCTGCCCGGCTGTCTGTCTGCTCCTCGCTGTCTGTCCAGCTGTCCCACTGGGGGTATCTTTTCCCTCGCAGTCATTTTAATTGGCAGGGAGCGGTGAGCAATCCGGCAGCAGGTCTCAGCCAGCCTGACCTAACAGAGCCTTGCCGCTTGGATCAACAGGCAGAGAGTCCATATGGGAGACCAAGCCCTGGTCCTTCCAGCAAGTCCTTACTGTTAATTAAAGGTATTAATTGGCACACAGCCTGCTTATTTAAAGAGGCAGTGGCCTCTGCAGTGCCTGGTGGTAATTATAGATACACAGAGCTGCTCCTAAAGGAGCGGTACAGGTGGGTGGATGGGCAAGGGGCTCTGCTACCCCAGCTCAGGGGCTTCTGCCCCTTTGTGTGCTGCTGGGGAGGACAGATGTTTCTGGAACTGTGCTTGGAGGTGGGGAGCATCAGCATGAATGCACGGCTGGGGCTGGACCCAGTGGTACCCTGGCTCTTCTGTGCCATTCCAGCACTTCAAGCACCCGAGGGGGTGCAAGCAGGAGGATTTTACTGTTGGGCACTCCCAGAGCCTCCGCCCCAACTTGGTTAAAGTCTGTGCAGTTCAATTTCTGAACGTAGTCTGGGAGCAACATGAAAATTAGATCTAATAATGAATGATTACAACTTTCAAGTTAAGTCTAGTTGGTTGACTAATCAATTTGGTTAAGTGAAAATCCATAGCAAATGAGTCAGCCGCAGTACAACATTTCTCCATCTAATTTAAATTAAAATCACCAACCATAATAATTTCACAATTACTCTGTGAGGATTCACCAGGGACTTGCCCCTTGAGAAAGAAAATGTCAAGGACTGCAGGAGAGACACCAGGGGCACTGGGAGCGTGGGGACAGGGATGGATGCTCCAGCAGTGGGGATGCATTGTTGGGTCTCCAGGTGACACCGTAGCAACTCAGCACCAAAGCATAGCACCTCCCATCCCCCACCCCTCCATGCAGCCCCCAGGGGTTTGGCCATTATTTATAGCGATGGAACAGGGCCGTGCGAGAGGGGAGCCTGGTCCTGTAGATCAATTTGTAATTTTTCTTCTTTGCTGTGGCAAGAGTGTGAGGGATGTGAGCATTAAATCCCCAGGAAAGTCGCCTCTGCAGCAGTCTTTAGTGGTCTGCATTATTTATTTGTGTACAGTTGTGTTACACACTGGGCCCTACCAAAATAAGTAAATAAGACCAGGGCAAGCTGTGTCCGTAGCAGAGCAGATGCTTGGGGATGGGCCTTGTCCTGCACACAGGTGGGCTGCAGGGAGGGGTCTGGGTGCACAGAACCAGTCCTGCTTTCTGCTGGGTCCTCTGCCCCTGTTGTTTACAGCAGGTAATTAATGACCAGTTCACCCAGAAAGCGGAGGGCAAGATGATCTGATGGTTTAATAATTCAGTGCTCTTACAGAACTCTGTGCTTGTGCAAAACACTCAGATGCACACTGCAGAGCAGCTGGCCTGGAAGGCTTTGCAGAGGTTTCTGTGCGTGGCTGTTGTAGTGGAAATGCTAAGTCATGGCTTGAAGCAGTGATTGAGCACCTGGTGGGAAGGCAGGGCCAGCCCAGAGGAGCTCAGGTGCGTGAATGCAATGCACCTGAGAAACCAGAAGGGGGTGGAGGCAGGATTCATCCCTTCCCAGACTTCATTTAAGGGTTGCCAGTGGAAGCAAACATATCTTGCTGGAGCTCTCTGTGTACCTGAGGCCTTTTGAAGGTAAGCAGCTTCTTTCCTTTGTTTTTGTGCCTGTTGTACTTGAGTAACTCCTCGCTTGCTGTAGCCTAGAACTTTACTACTCTGCTGTTGTTGCTGCACTTTCTGTCAGGTTACAACCATAGTGTGTGCAGCTCTGCTGTTGGCATGCTGCTGTGCACGCATGTCTGGTGTGGATGTTTGCAGCAAGGCCTGGTCTCAGGGCAGCCTCAGACTGTGCTGCAGCACTGACAGGCTCTGCTTTCCTTTCTCTGGCATGTGCTAAAAGTAGCAGTCAGATGGATGCCACTTGTGTGACCCCCACAGGACTGTGAGGACTGCCCAAATAAATAATAAAGCATTTCCTTGCTGTTGTGAAAGAGCTCCTGTGGGAAAACATTTTGATGCATTTTGATAAAAGGGTCAGGCCGTGGCTGGTGGGAGCCAGGAGACATTTATTTAATGTCGCCAACACAAAGGGCACTGAGAGCAACGTCTGCCTGCTCCCAAGCTGACATCTCTGCTTCTCATTTCCTGGGTTCAGGATGTGGGGGTTGTGCTGGGGGGTGTGTGAGGGTCACTGCCTTGCAGCCCCCCCCCCCCCCAGGCTTTGTGCCTTCTGTGTGCATCTGTTGGAAGGGGAGGGAGACGTGGCTCATGGAGCAGACGGAACCGTGGTTTATTTGGAGCATCTTGTACTAACTTTACAAATGCTGCATGTCTGCAGGCTTTTAATAGTCGAGTTCCTGGGTAAATGGATAAAAAAATATGTCCTGTGGGGACTAAAGGCTTTAGGGAATAACTTATGCAAATCCTCCAATCTGAAAGCAGGTGGTAACAAGTTTTCTGCAGTTTGCCTCATGGCGATGGTGGGAAACGTGTGGAGTTGGGTAGTGTGGGGCAAAAGCCTCATGAGGATGAAATCGTGAAGCCTGCTTGGCCCTGGGCACCTGACCATCCTCTGGGAGGGATGGAGGCCATGAGGAGATGACAGCCAGGTACCTGGGAAGGTGGGAACAGACAAACTATGCGTTGCTTTCTTTATTTGTTGAGTGATAAAGCTGAAAGCAGGCACCACTAGATCTGCAGTTGGGTTGCTCTGATCCAGTCCCTTCAGAGTGCTCATGTCTAGCATTTCAGAGCTCAGCTCACGTGGGAGCTCCGGGGCTGCAGGGGAAGGAGCCCAAACTCCAGTTCTCTCTTGGTGTGAAGCCTCAGGTTTTATTGGGCAGCAGGAGCTGAGGTGTTGAAAGATGCATTATGAATGCAAGGTGTAGGGAACAGAAATTATTAAACTCACAGATAGCAACAGAGCTTCCTTTGTGAGCGGTGGAGATGGGAAATTATGCTGAAGCAATGCATTGCAAATCACCCAATGAAAGGCAAAGAAGGGCCTTTTATCCTCCAGGCCCTGAAGTTTTTCCGGTATCTTTGTATGCAGAGGCATTCCTTCAGGGGAGAAAGAGAAGCCAGCAATTTTGTGGCTGATTGGCAGGCTGTCCAGTGCCAATAAAGATATTTGTTTTTTCATAGAAGTGCTCACAGACTGAAATCTCGCTCTTGCATTTTCCATTACAGAGGAAAATGAAACTTGGAATGCTTTCTCCATTAGTGCTGCTTAGCCTCAGAGTAATAGCGGTGCTTGAGCGACTTGAAAGGAGAAACAGTGCGCTCCAGCACAGCAACCAGAGCAGGCATGCTGCGTGGAGCATGCTTAAATCACCAGGGAGCCGAGTGCCCCTGGAAGTTGGCCATTATGGCTATTCTTTTGTGTTGTGGATCACTGGGGTGAGGTGGGGAACCAGCATTGGGAGACAGGAGGCTGGGGAAGGGTTGGTGAGCACCAAGCATCCTGAGGTGGCTTTGGTGACCCACTCAGTGAAGAACCTGGATGGTAGCAATGCTGAGATGGATGTAGTTATCCCTGCTGGTTGGCACAGCCCAGGGATGTGGGGCAAGATCCCCTACTGGTCCCCATCCCCTTAGGTGTCCCTGGGTGTTGCCCACTCCCCCATGCTCCACGCTATCACCCCACATGCGCAGCTCCCCGGCAGAGAGGAGGAACATCTGTTAACACAAATGCCTTCCTAATTTCTCCTTAACTCTCACTCAGCATCTGTGCTGAACAAGCCCCGTTCAGCTTGTACCGTGTTTAATTCTGGAACGGATTCAAAAGCGCAGTGGAGCCGGGAGCAGAGAGGAGAGAGACGCTAAATCTTTAATGGTGTGCCGAGTCAGAACTTCTGCCGGGCTCCGTCCTAATCACACGGGGGAGAACAACCAGAGACAGAATTTCTTAATAACAAACACCTTTGCAGCAGCTCATTAAATCACTGCATTTCTGAGGCACAGCAGGACACTTGTGTGAATAAATAGTGCAATCTCCCAGTCTTGAAGTATTTTCACATCTGAGTTATTTCCCCTGCATATGATCAGCTCTGTGTTGTGGTGGTTTTTTTTCTTTTTTGGCTCCCCATCTCTACCACGAATGGTTTTTGCTGATGAGCGCAATTAACAAATGAGAGACAAAGCCGAAAAAAAACACGTCTCCCCCCCAATTCTTTCTTTAATGTTTTAGAGTTGAACAAATAGCAGAGGAAAATAGAGTGAGGAGAGATTTCTGCTGATGATCTGAAGGCGCAGCTTTTTTTTTTTCCTCCTGTTTACTGCCTGTCTTTGTAGACAACAAAATGCCAAATGAAAAAGAAAGAGAGAGAAAAAAGGGTGCCAAAATAAAAGGAGGAAGGAAAGAAAGACCCTCTTCAGGGTGTTTATCCAAGCAGCGTATTTGCTCATTTCCTATCCCAGCTCATGCATAACGCCAATGAGATGGAAAGAGCCTGTTTTTGCTCGAGAGCTACCAACAAACTGGGAGACATGCCACACAATTGACTGTGGTGAAATAAATCGAGCAAAAGGTTCCCTTCCATCACCCTGGCTCTGCAGGGTTCACAGGAGGGGTGAGCACATCCATCGTGTGTGGGGCTGGGGCTGTGCTGTGGGTACTGAGCCTCCTGCTCAGCAGCACTGAAAACAGGGCAGAGCAAGTGTGTGTCTGTGGCCGAGGATGGCCAGGGCTGCAAGGAAATCAGGGCTGTGAGCAGAGTTTAACAGCACCATTGATTTATGGTTATAAATGCTGCATCTAATGTAGGGCAGAGAGTGTTTGAGGAATTTCTAGGAATTGAAGAGTTTCAGTGCTCTAAAGGCAAAACCAGGCTGGGGTACCATGGGCAGGGCTGGGTGTTCCTTGGGCAGAGCTATGGGTACCAGGGGCAGGACTGGGGGTACTGCATGCTGGGCAGGGCTGTAATGTAGGGACTGTGCTGTGGAACAGAGGGCTCGCTGCTGGCCTTCTCCTGGCTCCTCACCTCTACTGCCCAAGGCTTCTGGACACTGTTGTATGATCTTAGGGGAGGAGTTTTTTTTTAAGAGAATGACCTTTTTTTCCCCCTCTCTGAATGGCTGAGGTGAGGTAATGCATCGGAGATGAGAACGTGAGCAGAGCGATGCCATAAAGCCAGCAATAGTGCTTATTCAGTAGTTCAGCTATATGAAGAACTCTGATAATGGCATCAGAAAACTTGTGGCCCTGCAGCACTCTGCATGCTGACAGAGAAATGACGGAGAAATGTCCCAGTGATGTGTTGCAGTGCTGGGGGTGAAGCAGCTCAGGACCCACCTCTGGCTGATACCCCATCCCATGCACTTCACGGGGACACTGCTGCATGCTGACATCCTTAATTTATACCTGTCCGTGTGACGCTTCACAGGAAGCATTTTCCAGCACGGTCTAATTACAAGGTAAATAAATGGTCCCTCCCTTACAGTTAATTCGTTAGGTGGCTTTATTGCCAACAGGAGAGAGATGACACAGAAGGGTATTACGTACAGTGTTGCTAGTAATTATTTTTATTACTTCACACTAGTTTTATTGTGGTAGTAGGGGGAGTTTCGAGTTGTCGCTTTCTGCTTGGTGTAGTTAATGTTCTCTGAGGCTTTCTGGCACGGCTGAGCAGGGTCAGGTCCACAGGCTGTGCTGAGCATCTCCAGGAGAACTCTGAAATGGGAGAGCACTTGCTGATTATTCCCCTGCTGCTGGACCAGGGCTTTTCCTTTTTCTGTAAAACCTTGGTGGAGAGGCTGGCATTTGCAGGATTTTGGAGGAAGTGGATGTTGCTGGAGTTGTGCATGTGAGTGCTGATGGATAACGGCCTCGGTCAGGTGGGGCAAGGATCCGCTCTTCCCTCAAGCATAAGATGGGCTTTTGCTTTTGGATTTATTTCACTTCTATTGGGTGAAAATAACTATTTTAGCAGCAAGCTACTTGTGTAAGCAAATAAATCCTTTGAGCTCTGAAGAATGTTAAGGTGTACAAATGTCTTTGTGAAAGATGATGAATTCCTGTAGTCTTCTCTAGTGAATTTTGCTTCTGTAAATCTCTTCTCTTTGCTTGTGCTAATTGGTCATAGCATTAATTAATCTGATTTCATTATATCTCTTTAATTTGTCAAGATACCATTTCTTTATTGGGCAAAGAAACACTTTAGAGGATTGTCACAATTGGAATAATCCCCCCCTTCTTTAAAGTTACCAAGAGAAGTCGTTATCAATTAAGCTAATTTGCATACGCATTAGTGTAATCGTTTTAGTTTAGCCAAATTTGCGAAAATTTACATAGCAAATTGACCTTCCACATTTTCACTTAAACATATAAAGCGCAAGAGAGAATTGCGTTGGCATTGATAATGAAATGGAGATTATTTTGCATGGTTCTCTTACTAAAAGAGGCCTAATTAGACCAAGTAATTTTTTATTTCATCCCTAATTGCAAAACAAATAAGCTCTTTGGCAGTTTCTTCCCTTTCCCTTTGCCCATGTCACGTGGAGGGGGAGTGCTAATAGGGAAGTCGTGTTCTCATTAAGCCACAGTTGACGTCTGTGTGCTCTTCCATCAGAGGTCCTTCAGTTTCTTCCAGGTATTCTGCTTCAGCTGTTCGAGTTGCCTGGATCACCGATTAATAGACAGCTCCCTCAGTCTGGTCTGCTGAAGTAGCAGAGAAGAAAGGGAAAAAGAGGAATAGTGCTGCTTGTCTAAAGCAGCGCAGCCATGAGAACAGGCAGTGTCTCCCTTCCCACGTGGGAATTACAGCAGAAAGAATTCTAGGCTGTGAAAAATAACGGTGGGGAGTGCTAAAAGTGCCTCCACTGGGGTACCTGGGCTGTCACCGAGTCCATTGCCATGTGCAGAAGGATTCTTGCTAGGTGTGGAGGCATACAGGGAGCACAGGTGTGGCTTGGGTGGGCATGTGCTGCTGACACCAGGATGGCTGAGCTGCTCCTCCAGGTATGGAAGCAATGCAGAAATGGCATTTCTGAACATGCCTGCTGCAAACCCACTGAGCTGTGACTCAGTGTGACGCAGGAGCACTGTTAGAATTAAGGAAATGTTAATGCATGCAGCCAATGTGTGTGGCTGCAGTGGGGTGGGGGTGTGCAGGGGACCCTGCTGGTGCCTGGTGGTCTGGGCAGGGCCTTGGCTCCATGCTTCCCATCCCACCTCACCTCCAGCAGCCTTTGCTACAACCCAGCAAAGGTACTTGCATTTCCTGCCTGCCTGTCCCCACCTCGCCCGCATGCAGAGGGCAGCTCCAGGTGGAAAATCTTTCCTCTCGGGTTGTTAACTGAGCTGAGTGCTTCCCCCCACCACCCTATTTTTTTGGCCTTGAGTGTTTTTAACGGCAGCCTTCATGGTTTGATGGAGGATTTTACACTAATGCAAGGCATTACCTAGTTAATTTGGCCAGAATAGAGTGTAATTTTGCACGGTCAAAGTCATTGCTACTTGAGCTAAAAGTTCCATTACAGTGCACTGCCCACCTAGCTATTTCAGAGCACGCAGAGATAAGTAGCATTTTATTAATGGGTGTCCTCGGGAGCTTATTTAAAGGATGGCTCCTTGTCTGCATTGGAGATGAATATGGGAAGGAGCCAAGGCAGTGAGGGATGCTGGCAGCTGCCATGGATTTGCCACCCCTCTCAGTATGGTGATGCTCTGTCCGGCTCCTGGAGCATTGCGCCTGCAGGCTGCTCTGGATCCCTGGTCCCAGGCAGGGATCTGGTTGCATGAGGACATTATTATGCCAAGCACTGTGTAAACATAGAACAAAAATTTGGCTCCCTCACTTACAAATTATACATGATCCTCTTGATCGCTCTTGTTGGCTGAGGGCTCCCCAGCCTCTCCTGAAGTTGGGACTTGGAATGAGCAGTGCTATGGTGCTCATTGCCCTTTCCCTACAGGAGGCCTGAAGCAGTGAGATGAGCAGAGTGCATGGCTGGCAAAGCCACCTGCAACCCTGCTCTTGTCAGCATCCCCTTGGGATGCTTTGGAACCCCCTCCTGGCTTAGATGGGCTGTGGTAGGCGATGGAGCAGCTCAATGGCCATCACAGCCTCCAAATTGCTGCAAGGCTGTTGTTCTTCTGATTCTTGTGCCCTCGCTAAGCCCAGCGCCAAGTGGCTGCCTGCTCCCTCCTCATGCCCCTCTGCACCTCCTTGTGGCTACTGCTCATGAGCTAAATCCCTTCAATGTGGTGGTTGTTTGTTTTTGGAATTCTTCTCTATTCTCTCCTACCATCCAGCTGCAAAGCAACGAACACACCAGAAGCAAACCAACCTCTCACAAATTATTCCCCAGCTGTGACTGATTCCAGCAAAACACCTTGTGTCTGATCTACAAAGCCCGAGCTGATCTGCACGTCCAACCAAAGCGGGTCCTTCCTCATCACATGCTTGTGCTGCCAGAGCAGGGGATGTGGATAATACTTTAGAGCTGCTACAAACGCTTCGGAAAAGACTCTGCCGTGGTAGCAAACAGCTGGTGTAGCTAATCCACTTTCCAAGCACATTTGCAAGATACATAATTAAGAGTTCTGTTGAGGGGCGAAGCGAAGCAAGCCATTAGATTTGTTTATAATATTCTGGGTAGTGTAATACTCACGCAGGATATCCCTTTCCTGCAAAAGACATTAAGATGATCCTCAGGAAATGTCCCTGGGATTTCCTGATGATGCCTACATGACATTAAATTTGTGTAAGTATTTCCAATTCCATTTGCCATGGAATTAAGCACCATGAAGGATCCCATAATTTTTTTTTTTTTGGACTTGTTAATTGCTGGATCAATCCAGATGATATTCCTTTAGGTTCTCTCTTCTGATTTCTGTTGTTTCGCAGACACAAACTGGGATGGTTTGAGGAAGAGGATGAGCAAGTTCCTTCAGCCTCATCATGGCAGCACAAGCCTGTTGACAAGCTACGTGTGTTTCACCTGCTATTAACTTGCTGCTCGATGACAAGCGACTATTTCTTCCAGAGCAAACGAACACTGTCCAGGTTGAAATTAGCCTGGTTGTGGCCCATGTCCAAAGCAATGTTTGTGTTTGTATGTCTCTGAGTTCAGGGCAGCTGTTGCAATGTGGCACTATGGATTGGGTCTGCAAAGGGAGGCTGCATGAGGGAAGAGCAGGCACGAAATACCTGTTTTTGCTTTATAAAAACTTCCCTGTGGTCTCTACTTTGTCTGCAAGACCCACCTAGCACCTCCCAGTGAGGTCTACTGGGAATCCCCTCATGGCAGGGGGAGAGAGTTGGTTTGAGTGGGGGGGAAAAGTCCCTGATCATCACAGGGGAGTTGGACTAAATGACCCTTAAGGACTCCTTCCAGCTCAAATGGTTCTACGGTTCTTTGAAATGAGAGGTGCCCATGGCTCTGTGCCCTTAGGGTGCAGCAGAAAAGAGAAGTGAAGCCAGGTGATGCATCCCAGCACTTTTGCTACTGGAGGAGGATATGCAGACGTTGCTGCTGTGCAGAGTGGTCTGGAGGTGTGCTCAAGCTCCCAAACACCCTGAGCCTTGCTCTACACCTACTCTGACTCTGTGTGCTTTCATGCAGGTTCCACAGCTCTGTGTGTTTCTCGCCGTGTTTCCATTCTGTCGAACACTCAGAGCCTGCCCTGCACGCATTTCGGAAGCGAAGGACTTTCCTAATTACAGTGCGAACAATCCGAGGTGGGCTCCTGTCTGTCTAACTGTCAGGGAGAATAAGTCAGCGGTGAGTCAGAAGCAGAGATGTGGAAATGATGCGGGAGAAAGGGAATAGTCTGTGCTGGGCTTAATCACAGGGGCCAGGTGCTTTACATTTCTTCCAACAAAACTCTGTTTGCTGCGGGCGCCTGAGGCTAGCTGAGGCGGGCAGCATAGCCGGGGCTCATCAGGCTCACTTGCCTCCTGGGCGCTGTCTTTCACTTGGTTGGGCATTGGCATCTCTGCACCCATCGCATCGCACCCACTCCTTGTTCTGCGTGCGCTCCCGGAGCGGCCGAGGTGCACCATGCAGCCTTCCCTTGGAAGCTGTTTGCTTTGTCATCATTACTACTATTTTACTATTCTTTATTACTATCAGCAGTAATGCAAGCCCTTTGCCTATAGAAAGGATTTTTTTGTTGTTGTTGCTTCTTCTGGAGGGATCCAGGAATTCTCCACTTACCTATGTCGTATTTATTACGCCTGGTTAAAGATCATTAAAGCCTTTGTTAGCAGAGCTGACTGACAAGAAGAGTGGATTAATATTAGAACACCCTGTCAAAAGTGGTGAAAAGGCTGGATTGATTTTATGGGAAGTTTAGTCAGAGTTGTGTGTAAAGCCCTTGGGGGGTTACACTGCAGTGAATCAATCTCCTATATTAGCAACTCCCTCTGGGAATAGTCGACTTCAGTGTTTATTACAGCCGAGGCTGCATATAATAGGGATGGCAGCCACTCGCCTCCCTCTCTTCTTTCTCATAATTTGCTGCTTGCAATTGCAGCCACACAGAGGAGCACCTGAGATAAACAAAGGTGCTGGGCTCTGTGTAGCAGCAGAGCAGTGGGGGGGATGAGATGAGTGTCTGCCACAGCCCTGTCCTGCTGCACCCACCCTGAGCTCTGCCTGAGGACCTGCTGAGAGCTCCTTTGTGGTGGCAGTTTTCATCCCAGTGCCTGGGTCGCAAGAATACACTCAGGACAATACCTGAGAGCTCCTGCAAACATCAATTAACAGAATCCCACGCCGTGTGGGTAAGGAGGGTTTTGGCAACCCTGGAACAGAGACACGTGGTTGAAAGAGATGTGACAAGGTGTCTGTGCACTTTGGATCTAATTGCATTCAATCACTTCTGGATCTAAAGCATCACCGGTGCAGCAGGGATGCTGTGGGCCAGGAGGGACTGTGCACAGCTCATGGCACTGCAGTGATGGCATTCCCACAGCTGATGGCTCCCGACCTTTGCCACATCAGCTGCTTGATGGAAACCATCAGCACTTTTTGGAGAGACCAATGCAGTAGAGGCAGGTCCTGCAGTCTGTTGGTGGTTCCTCCAGCTGTGCCTGCATCCTTTTGTGCCTTACCCAACAAGCCAGATAACTTTCATTCCTCCTCTTCCACTGTCACTTACTTCACTTTTTATCTGCTCAACAGCAATTCCTTTCTGCTCCCCCCCATCCTCTTCTCTCACTAATGCTCTTCACTTTCAAATGCTAATAATCTGCAGCACTAAAAGGCTTAGAAGTGGTTCTAGATTGTTTGATCTTTGGCCTGTGATCTACTTTCATCTTCCAGCTTTCAAATGTTACTTTGGATTTACTTTAACCTATTAACACGCTTGGTATTCACAGGCATGCACTTTTGGTGTGTTTTGCATCAGATCCACCCAAATTCAAACAAGCAGGGGAAGTTACTCTTCTGGACACCAACTTTTCACAGTCTCTATTTGCTCACAGGCACAGTGGGGGTTTTGCTCTCCTGTTTCCATGTTCCCTGGGGATGCTGAGGATGAGGATGTGATGTTCCTGGTTGTGAGGGGACAGCGGTGGCCTTGGACCTGCAGCCACCAGCCCAGCACCCAGCAGGGGATGTGGTGTAGGGGATCACCCTCCTCCTCCTTTACAGTGGCACCTCTGGAGAGAATGGCTTTGAAAGCACCGCTTATTTTCAGCAGCTCCTCTGGACTGTCTGGTCCTCAGTCAGTGTTGGATGTCTGAACAGAGACATCAGAGCTTTCCTGAAGCTGTTATAACTTAATCTGGCAGGCCAGCCTGCTCTGGCACCTCTTGCCAAGAGAGGAAGCCAGAGCACTAGATGATTTTCAGACATTAGTGACTGCCATAAATCAGAAAGCAGAAGTTATCGAGTGCTCTGCTAATGGACATTTCCTTCCAGAGTATCCCCTCTCGGGCTTTGCAGGGGCACAGAGGCTGCTCCCAGTGGGGGAAGCCAAGGGAGCTGTGCTAAGGCTGGGAAATGTGCTGAGGAAAGAGGCTGCAAGGTGAGAACCAGGCCCCAGTTCCAGCCTGACTGCTGCACTGCTGTGGCTGCTGGTGCTGCTGCTCTCTGTGGGGGCCCCCAGCCCCATAAGCACCAGCCGTGCTTTGAGAGCTGTGCAAATCCCAAGCCATCAAAGGGACGGCATCATTGGAGGCCAACTTGCAAATGACTTTTGCAGAAGGGAAAAGGGTGCAGAAGGGAGATTTTAGCCAAGCTGAGCGCTGGGCAGGGTTTAAACTATGTGGAAGTAGTTGATGTTTTGGTGCTGAGATGGCAGTGCTCTGTGCTGTGCTTCCTGACTCCTTAGGGCTGAAGGGGCAGAGCCTCGAGCCCTTTGCCTTCAATGCCGATTCCCAATCAAAGCGATGCAGTCCTCAAGGAGCAGCGAACTGTTTAATATTTAAACCCAAACAGCCCAGGCAAAGCTGCTTTTCTTTTTTATTTATTCTTTTAATTAAATGCCAATTAGAGAGGGGGGGAAAGGCATTAAACACTTAAATACACACTACACCCAGGTTGCTCAAAGTTGTTACGACCTAATTATCTACTTAAGTGATCATTTGAAATTCCATATCAAGCAATTCATAATCTGCCCCAAAACTGAAGGCTCAATGAGCATCGATGGGCAGTGCCTACCCTGTGGTTGCTACCTGTGGGATTGAAATTTCTACCTGCACATCCGTGGGGACTTTGTGCAGATGGGGCTGGGAAAGAAGTGGTGTTTTCTGCCTGGAGCTGCAACCTAAAGCAAGGTCACTGTCAGGAGTTCTGTGGGTGCTTTTTCCCATGTCTCCATGCTTGGAGGTTGCAGTTTCCTTGCTGCAGGGCTCTTCTGGTTCTCCTGGCTTCGAGGTGCTATTATCTGCTCTCCACCCTGCTGCTCTATGAACACTGAGGGACATGGGATGGTGGGGATGGGTGGATGACTTCATGATCTTAGAGGTCTTTTCCAGCCTTAATGATTCTATGACAAGCTGGTGCCACCCATCTCATGTCACTTCAGCCCAAAATGAGTTCTGGGGGAGGCATGATGGTGAAATTCCCCACTCACCAAGAAAGGGTTCAGCCCTTCTATGCACCTTATCAGGGCTGGAAAATCTTCCACCGCATTTCCTTCTGTGGAAAGTGCTGCCCCCTCAATTAAACCCTGTGCACGTGTCTATCTGCATCCAACTGAACCCTGCTTATCTGCCCCCAGCACCACTCTGTGAGCTCAGGGTTATGAGGGCAGATTGGGGAGCCCCATCCATAACCCACAACGCCACCGCGCCTAACGAACAATGCATTAATTAGAGGCAGCAATTCAACCTCCACCGTAATCAATTCCAGCAGCGCCCGCTCTGCCTGCACATCCGACAGCCTCTTCCACTCCCCTCTGCAAGATTTATTAATTATCAATGCTGGCTCCGGCGTGGCATGCAGAGGAGAGCAGGAGCGAGGAGGTGGTATCGGCGGCGGAGATCTGAGAGACGTCTGAAGGGGATTGGCATGTGCAGGAGACAGCCTGCCTCCTGGGGACTCGCCCGGTGATCTTTTTTTCCTCCCTTCCTCCTGCTTTTCTTTTAATTAGTGGAGTTGGTGCGATGCTCTGCTTGGACAGCAGGGAGGAGGGTGCGCGGCAGCAGGCAGGGGCTGGTGGGTGCGTGCAGCATCCCCTGCTCCCTGTATCCCATCCCCTCACCCAGGGCAATGCTTCGTGCCTGGGGCAGGCCCAAACCCACAGCCCTGGAAGTTGGCTCTATGCTGACCCTCTCCACCCACCTGTAAACTGCAGCCCTGCCAACTATTAAGCTCTGGTCTTTCCACCTATGGATGAAGCGTGGCGATTTCCAAGCCTGCCAGCCAATGCCAGCGGATGACCTTGTGGTTTTATTGATCTCTTCTTTCCCACTGGTGCTGGGGGAGCCGTGTTTCCAAGCCTGCTGGGGGCAGCTGGAGGAGGCGGGTTGGTGTGGGACGGGAGGGCTGGAGGCAGCTCTGGCCCTCAGGCTCGCAGCCCATACTGTACCCCAAGCATTTTTATTTTTTTTTTAATACTATTAGAAAAAAATACAAAACCAGTTATTTTTATGCCCCTTTGCCCCCCTGTGCTCTCCTGCCTGCTGTGTGCAGGAGGCACTGGGGGTTGCCCCCATTGTGCTCCCCTGGGCTGGCTCAGCACAGCACACAGTGCCAGCACCAGCAGCTTTGGGCACAGCGTTGTATTGGCATCTGCATGAGAGCTAATAAGGAAACATCATTTTAAACTTCAGCCCTCATTTGCCGGCTACGAAACAGCAAAACAAAGCGAGTGAGAAAGCGTGAAGGGGGAGTATGTTCTAAATATGCCTGGGAGGATTCAAAGACACTTTAAAGTGGGGATGTGGTCTGGGGAAGAATCTATTTTCAATGCAGATTTGTTTTTGTTTGAATTAGTTGATGCTTATTTTAAGCTCCTGTGGCACGTTGTCATCTCCGGATTGCTTGTTTTCCTGTGCCAAAGTCAACCTTAATTTTTTTTTCCTCCTTTCAAGAGGAACCCACGATTTTCCCTCTGTTGCACAGTGCATCAGATGGGCAGGACAGACCCAGCTTCTCTAAGCAATGCTGACAAGATTACCTACAGATTGCTGGAGTAAAATGTTGCATTTCAACTAAAGCTGGGGCAGATGGCAGAGGAAAGCGCTGGAAACTTGTCACTAATTTCTAGTGAAGGACAAACCTCTTGGGGATCATGGGTTCACTCTGGGTAAGCTGGAGAAGTCTGGCTGTGTTGCTAATGCTCATCCCATGCAACTGCATTGGGGAACATCCCTACTCCCTGCACCCCAAATTGTGCCTTGAAATGAGGGGATGGAGATGCCTGGGCCCCCTGCAGCTCGCCTTGGCAACCCACCTCCAGCAGGTTTGCCTTCAGCAAGGGGTAAATGCTGCCTTCACATCTGCACAAAAGGGGCCAGAGGATTTAAGTGAAGCATGGACAAACTTCAGAAATATCCTGTGTAGCCTGGGAATACTTCTCTTTCATTTTGTATCAGGAGACTTGGAATGGGAACACTTGTGAAAGAGCAGCAACAGGTACTGCTTATCCTTGGGGGGCTCAGTGCCTTCCCAGAGAAGAACAAACATGGTGGAAGGAGGGCTGCAAGCACAGGTCTGGCTGTGATGCTGCAAGGAGAACACAAGCAAAGCACGA